CTCAGTCAACTCGCTAGGTAGACTCCCGCCTGCGCGGGAGCGCCATAAAGGCTGCATTAAGAAGGAGCCACACACACACTGGATCTAGCAGATGGGTCATAAGTATTTCACCAAATCGAAGTTTATCAGTCCCTCGCCGAATGTTTTTTTTTATTAAACATGCTGATGATATGGTTGTTGACCATCCTCTCAAAAGTCAGACACATTTCCCAGTACTGAAGGATGGCCTGCACCACGTCTCAAAATGGTCGTCAGCAAATGGTCTTCTAATTAACCACCGGAAGGCAGTCCAGTGTATTTTTCGACTGCGACCCTCTCTCAGTCCTGAAACTATTGACATTCTGCCGAAAGAGGTATCCTCTTTCCAGTACCTTGGTGTTACACTGGCATCCAATCTTACATTTGTTCTTCATATAGAAGGCCTTTTATTAAAACCCGTAAACTTTTATATTATATTCGCCGCTTGCGTTCATATCACACACCGCAAGCCATAATCTGGCGATTTATAGATGCCTACATTCTCCCCCTCATTTTTTACTGCTCTCCAGTTACTTTTTCTAGCTTTACTTAAAAAAGACCTGGTCATTCTTAAACGTATCCTACGAGTGCTCTCTTCAGCTGCCGGTGTTTCCTGTGTTTTTTTAGCTGACATAGTACAGCGCCACCTTAAAACGTTCAAGCAATTTGCTGATCGCATCCGAAGTGAGATTGCTCACCCTCTCCACTCGGAACTAATGGCTGCAAAGTCTTCCCGTACTATGCGCCGAGGCTTCCGTCATATGTCTTGCCGTGCATCGGCGTATCAGCACTCTGTACTCCCATTCTTGGCACGCTATCTCACGTGTGAAGAAGCGGAAATTGGGAAGGTGAAAGCTGACCTGTCTACAGAATAGACGTGGATTTTGTTTAAAACTTGAATTTTAAGTATTCTATGACCTTCTACCTTTGACCTTTTACCATGACCCCTTACTTGCTCTCCGTGAATGCAGCCCTTTTTTGCTGAAAGTTTAGGATATTCCATTTTAAATAAAGCATTCCTCTCTCTCTCTCTTACACACCTGCCATGCCTTGTCGCTGCGGATCGGGTATTTATTCAAACACAGATTTGGTTGCGTGTTTTTTGTTGTCGGCCATTCTTTTGATGGTTTAGTTTCATTCTCGATGGAATCGTTGGGGCGGCGCGTCAGGCGCATTAGTATGCAAACAACAAACACTAGCGATGAGGGCACTGCAATCAGTGGATTAGGCGCAGGCTATAAATTACCCCTAGAAGCGCCGTCGGTCATTCATTATTCATTTTCGCCTGACCACTAAGAAGGATCGCCAGATGGATGCTTTGGACCAAAACACTGCGGATAAATCAGGGCTTGACAGGCGTTACTAAGAATGTGCATCCATAACAAGTGTTACGTATTACTCTGACAAAGACGCAGGACACTAAAATGCCTATTTCTGGCTTACTAGCCGTAATCAGACAGCCATAGTCCATCTTCAGTAAAGAAGAAAGATGATCGAACACCAGAACGATTTGTATCTTATTCTGAGCTTTTGGACTCTTACCAGAGTCCATCGTCAGACATGGGAAGCAGCAACAAAACAGTGGCTGGTTATAGCCTGTGAACAAACCGTTAAAATTTGAACGTGTAAAAAATCGATAATTGTTAGCTTTGGGCACCTAATGGCCACGTCAGCATCGAAAACGGGGCGATTATGGAGGATGTGGGGCGAATTAATTACGAGGGACGTCTGGCTGTGATTGTATGTAAGAGCGCAAGGATCTGTACGCCGGCACCAATTCAACACATCTGTTGACAGAATTCTCGTCCATCCTATACGTTGCGGCACCTGGGCCTCGAACTCGCAATCTGTTGGATCAAGGCCAACACGCTTATCCGTGCGCCGCTGCAGAGAGGAGAAATGACAGAAAATTCGAATATATTGACGCAGTCTGGTTCGGGCTAATTCTGCCTACATTCAGCCAATCAGAACTCCGACTATCAGCTCACACTGGCAACATAAACATGCGCTCGAGTACGCCGCAGATAGTCCACACATACACACACACTGGATCTAGCAGATGGGTCATAAGTACTTCACCAAACCGAAGTTCATCGGTCCCTCGCGACACCTGCTATGCCCTGTCACTTCAGATCGGGTATTTATTTAAGCGCATATTTTGTGCGCGTTTTTTGTTAATTTAGGCTTATTCCACCAGTTACGTACTGTACTTTCGCGCCAACTGTTCTGACACCGTGTGTTTCAAATGTTGAATATCGGTTGATTATGTGAATCCTACCGCCACGGCTTTACAGTCTGCATTCCCGCTAAACGCCGCAATGAGGTTAGCTTTAATGCTCTTGTCCACCCTCGGGACACAAATCTTCGCAGTTGGCAGGCGTGCCCCATCCCCCTCGACGCTGATAAACCGACAGCCGGCCAGACCCGTCTCGCCCCCCTCCCCCAATGGCCAGACAGTTGTCGCCAGGACGTCTGCCCGCTGGCCAGAAGGTGACGAACACATAATTCAAAGATGCGGCTACGTCTGTGTCGGGCGGTGATAATATATGGACGCATAGCTCTTTCAAAAGTACAGGGGAACACACACGCACATGTCAGTCGTAGACGTCTGTTGCACCTGTAAACGTTTTTTCGTAATTCACATGCTGATTTGTACTTTTACTTGTTACGACTATGACCATGACTGATCTAGCCGGCCTAAATGATGTCATGGACGGTACTTCTCCACGCGTGACGATGAGTGGCAACAGACCTGACCGGTTCAATGCATTCTCTTCGCCGTCGCCGGAAGCCGAATACCGAAGTTCCAAGAACCACATGCATGTCCTGACGGACTGACCCCGACTTTGACGTCTTTACTTGGGTAACGGTGTCGGATCGAGGACACTAACACTGAGCTCGTGTTCACACCATTTCAGCCATCTTTGTTGGATACCCTATTATAACCCTGCGATGTTGTCGCAGCGAGTGCGGACTGTCACATTTGAGACGAAATCTGTGTACTTCGCTCAAAGGGTGGTCCTCAAACAGTAGTGGTCAAATCCCTCCAGGTTTCTTTCATCTTCCAAGCGCAAAGCCCAGAATTCACAGCCGTAGAGAAGGACAGACCGAATGGACGCACGGCACACGCAAACCTTCGTAGCAATAGAGGTAGCATATCGGGTCTACAGTCACTTTCTAAGGCTTGATAAAACTCAGCGAGCAACATTAATTCGGGAGAAAATGTCCTCCTTACGCTGCCCATTCGGCAGCAATCTCGCTGCGAGGTTAGGTCACGTACTGTACACTGTTGCGAAATGGCTTGCTTCAAACGTTGAAGATCGGGTGATCAAATGAATCGTACAACTACAGCTTTACA